TCTGCCTTCCTAAAGCATGGTGCATACTCTAAGAAGAAGAGATGCTTATACCAAAACACTCTCACACACTCACAAGTATCTTTTGCTATGTCAATCAAATAGGCTTTAGATGACCACCAGGTTTGATTGCCTTCTTTGGCCAATAGAAATGTTAATAACACCATGAAGGGATTATATTTATAAATGAACTGTTCTTTCACTTAATCCAAATCCAGAGGTCAAAATGTTTTTAAATATCCGTCTTTGGATTTTGAAGCTAGCTATTAATTCTTTCCCTACAGTCAAAATAAAACAAATTAATTTGCATCTTATACTGTAGGCACAGCTGGCTGAAACAGTCTATGAGGAAGTAGATAGCACTACAGAAAATGAGACTTACTTGGAATGTCAAAGCAAGGGCCAGAATAAAATCTACGAAGGTTTAGAAGGTTTAGAGCCCAGCATCACCCTTCTAAACCTTTGTAGATTTTATTCTGGCCCTTGCTTTGACATTCCAAGTAAGTCTCATTTTCTGTATGGGCTCTGGGTCTCCTCGGCTAGACTTACTAATCTCAAAATTAGTGCAATCCATGGTAGTACGGGACTTTTAAAATATAACAACCAAAGCTGGGATTATTATAGTAATAGTAATTATTAATTACTGAAGTTGCTATTTATTAGATGTCTACCATGGACTAAAGCAATGTGTTAGATTCTTTGTCTAAAGGACTTCATGTGAGCTTCATAACAATCTCCTGTGTTAGGTATTATTATTTCCATTTTACCCCTGAAGAAAGAGGGTCCACTGAGTGAGTGACTTTGGCAGCGACTTAATCAGCGACTCTGAGAGGCCAGCAACAATTGGTTTCTGATGCTGTCACAAAGTGTGTAGGACTTTTTTCTTTATCTAAATCTTAAAAGGAGACGCCTGACGGGCTGTTTCAGTAAACACTGTGTATCCCTGTGAAGGTGCCTGTGAAAGAGCTGCTGAGAAAGTTTTATGTCTTCTAGTTCTTCGTAGATCCCACTATGGCTGAGATTGACTGAAAATCCACATTGTTGAAAATGAGAACGCTAAACGTCTTCTCTGCGACACTGACGCTGGCCAGTCCAATTGACTCAGAGATAAGATGAGACAAAAACACATAATGAATGAACAAAGAATTGTCCTTTGGATTTTTAGTAATCTGAGCAGCTTATCAATGGGTTTAGTTTAGAGAATTCCTTATTCCTTTTCAGACAAGCAGTTCACATGCCCTAAGTGGAAAACCTGGAACCAGAGTGAAGACTAGATAAGGCAGCTTTTCTCCCGAGGGAGGGAAGAGGGGGGCATAATGAGGCCACGTAGTTGACATTGGTATTGTGTAGCTGAGCTGGCACAGAACACAGCTGAGTATCCCCCTGACTATTCCCATTTCAAAGAGATATAATACTTCCACCACCTCCTTTTCACTATTTTTTATATCTGGATGGAACATATTAAGTGGCCTCACAGTGTAATGACTTTCAATGTCTTCCTGACAATGTGATTAAAACTTATTTTTTTTAAAGAGAGAAATCTTTGATTTGTACTAACAGTTCTAAATTATACTTGGCAGCATCAGATTCCAAAAGCACTGGCACACCTGGGGAGATTCACTATTTCTGTACCAGAACTCATTCCTAAACAGCAAGTGCATTCAAAAGAATTTTGTTTATGTAGGCTTGGGTATAACTTTGTTGTTGTTTGGTGCTTTCTGAGTGACACTTCCTTAGAAAAAGAGGCAGTATTCCAGTGTCCCTTTCCCAACCTGTACTGAAAGTTTCAGAGAGAGACAGAAACATAATGCATGCTATGTAGACAAAATATGGTAGAGTTTCCTCTGACCACACAGGTAACAGGAACATGTAGGTAAAAGGTGGCTTTAGGAGACAGAATTGGAAATGCCTAGGAACGGATTTCTCCTTTCAATTTTAGCAGTTAAGTTTCATGGCCTTCATAGTGATAAATATTATCAAGACCCATCTAATTCTACAAATCTCATGAATTCTATGAAACATCCTCCATCCCTCTATATTTAAGAAAAGTCATGAAGTTGGTGTGGTCCATATTAACCTTTTAGAGCCCTCAGTACTTTATTTCAAGGCTTGCTTTAAACAGCCTTTTTTAAAGATGTATAGAACTAAGTACTTCATCTTGGCAGCAATTTTAGTAATGCAATTTTGTATTCATACATGTATTGACTTAAATTAGACATTGAGTATCCTTAACCCAAAAATCTGAAACATGAAAGGCTCCAAAATCCAAATCAATTTGAGTGCTGGCATGACACTCAAATAAAATGCTCACTGGAGCACTTCAGATTTTGGATTAGGGAGGCTCAACTGCTAAGTATGTAATATACTACTTACAGATATATTGCAAATATTCTAAAATCTGAAACAATCTGAAATTCAAAACATTTCTGGTCTAAAGCATGTCAGATTTGGGATACACAACCTATATATCTATCTCCCTCACCTTAATAAAGGAGGCCAGGGATATTGTATATTGCTATTCACTATTAGATCTTCAGCGCTTATTACGATACCTGGTAAAAGGTTAGCATTCAATAAAAATTTAATGAACAAATACATTCCTGAGTGAATGAATGAATGAACCATTAGCTCAATCCTAATGTTCCCTGACTCCAAGCTGCCAAGAGTCAGCCTATGTTATCCTCTCCTGAACTGATCCAATATACTGACTGTTGATATGCTGACAAAGTATTAATAATTTAGTAATGCCACAGTTAGGTTAATTTTCATTTGCCAGAGGGAGGGAGGAAAAGAGGAAAGCAGAGAAAGAAGGGAGGGAAAAACAGAGGGAAGGAGGAGGGAGAAGGACAGAGAGAAAGACAAAAAGAGAGACGAGGGGAGAGATGGGATGGGCAAGATGAGAGAGGAAGAAGGATGTGAGAAAGAGAAAGAGAATGAATGAATGCCCAGAGAACTAGTAGTTTAAGGAATGGGATCCTAAATTCATTTCAATACGTTTAGTTAGTAAACAACCTGTTTACAACAATAAAGTCTGGATACCATGTATATCATTAATATAACACCATATCTAATTCTCTGTAGCAATGATTTGCTAACAGTCTAAATATGAATAAGCCCAAATTCTCCATAAGGCCAGCTTATTTCCTACTTTTTAGATTAAGCGGTTTTAGAAGAAGGGTCTGTTAATCTGGTCTCTCCAAAATCAGTGTCTTTTCTAAGCAAGTCAGCTATCTTTCAAATCAGCACAGAGCCACTGTACCACTAAGTGGCTGAATGATCTTAGACAAATCACCTCACCTCCTTGATTTTGACTCCCTATGGTTGTAAAGACAGAAATATTAATATCGACCTTACTTAACAAGGTGATTGTGAAAAGAAGTGAGATATGTAAAGCCTAAAGAACCATCATGGTAATTTTTAAATATTAGAGTCAAAATTGTAATTTAATAACAGAAAACTCTTAGGTGTTGCCTGCATCCTTAGGCATCCATTCTTCAAAATAAAGAGGCCTTGTTTACTTATCTGAGAGGGTTGTAGAAGGCTCAAATGAAATAATATCCACGAAAGTCCTTCACCTACCTAAACTATGATTATTTGATATCCCAGAATAATTTTCCCGCAAAAAAATGCTCTTATGCTGTCTCTGACAGCACATATACCAAAATTGGAACAAAACATGCTTTCACCACAGAAATTCACGAGTGGTACATAGCAATGTGCTTATTTCAGCATATTCTTACATCAACAATGTGAAATTACAAAAGAATTTGAACTTCGTAGAACATTATTATGCTTTCTAAATTGTAGCCATAAGTTTAGAAAATGCAACATGCAATGCTATCCTAAAATTATTTACATAAAGTTAATCATTGAAATCCTATGGACCAATTTCATTAACTAGTTCTATAAGGCAAAAATATAATTTGAAAATAATGATGATTTGAAATACAAGTATGCATTCAGTTTCTTCAAAAATACACGTAATTTAATTACCCTGGAAGCTATCTTTTAAATCGAGCGAAAATATCCGCAATGTGTCATAAATGCCATATTTCTGCTCAGAGCAATGATTTAGTCATGCTACTTGCCAGAGCTAAAACTCCTCACAAAGGCTAAGAGTACCCTCACAGCAGTCCGGTTACTCATTATTTAGAATTCTAGATACAAAATTGTCAGCTTCCAATTATTTAGTGGGATAAAGATTTCGTGAGATAAAGTATGGAAACATTGCAAAGAAGTGACAGAGACTCAGAATGTTCTTCTACCTCAAACCATCTCCCTGTGTGACCTCCAAAATGGAGATGTGTTATAAAATCACCATTTTAGCCCACCCAATAGGGCAGCTGACTGAATCATCAATGTGGAAGCTAAAATCATGGCCTAGAAAAGCAAGCACATTGCAAAACAGGTCAGCACAGTAAACAGAATTCACATACGCACACACACACACACACTCACAATCTTGCTCATCAGATGGCCTTCAGCAAAAAATATACTTTAGAGACTGAAAATAGTCCCTTGAAATAACAACAGAAAACATTCTATAAAACCTTACTCTATGAATGTTTTAACTAATCTGAAAGACCACATTTATTTTGCAATTACAAAGATAGAAAGTTTATGAGAGACAAAGACAGGACAACTTGTGACACTCTGCCACCTCCACCTATTTTCCAAAGCCTGTTGTAACTGTTTGCACCAATTCCATATTTTAAATGCCTGAAATAGCCCTTGGTCCCCTTCCCGGCTGTTAGCATATTCCTTTTATTGTCAGATTATTTCGTCCCTAAATATCTCTCCCGAAGATTTAGGGATGAGACTAAGAGGGTGGCAGCATAACTGAGAAAAGATGCTGTCAATGCCTCCCTCAACCAAATTTAGTGAGCTGGCAGATCCTAGCCCTAGCTCAGGGCCTGTGGTCCGGACATGAGCCAGCACCGGAGTCCTCTGCAAAAGAACCTTAAAGCAGAGTCCAGTCTAGCTGGATTCTCAGAACGACTTACAGCTCTCAATTTCCAAGGTGCAGTTTTGTTCATCCAGTGGGTACCTCCTTAGGTCCATCATGCAGGCAGCTGTGGTTGTGATTCTAGAAGATAAATAGCAATGATGAGTGTTGTTAGCAGGTCTAAGGCTGGAGCTGGGAATTTAAATCTAAGTATCAAAGAAGAGACTGTGACTTAGCCTTAGTATTAATGAAAATGACTGATGCAACTTTAATAACCATATTTCTTTATGAATCTCACACTGATTCAGAAGATAGAGACTGGACTAAATCCGTATTTCCCAAAGTATGGTCCATTATCTACTTGTATCAAAATAATCTGAGAGAGTTTCTTCAAAAGCCACTTCTCATGCCCCGAGAGTGTGTTGGGGAGAGGTGGAGTGGTGCCAAAACTCTATTTTACAAGCATCACTGCTGACTGAGAATGTGGGCAAAGAATATTCCCATTTCTATCACATTTATTTTCTCCTCCTTTCCTCAAGATCAGAAAAACGTAATCTATCAATCTTAGTTTTGGTCCATCATTTTTCACCCTTCTATACATAACATAGTATTTTGCCAGTGCTTTAATATAACACACAATCAGCCTTTTATCTATACCTGATTTCAGTATTTTATCTATACCTGATTTCCGTCCTGAGTAATCTGATGTTTTCATGATCCCCTAGACAGTATACTCCTATGGGATGGCACAGTTATTTATTTAGAACACTTAGTACCTTTATTATTTTATCAGGAAAAAATAAATACGTTCCTTCAATTTGTCTTTATATTTCTGTCATTATTTTTTACTAATCTTTCTGTTGACCTTCTAGAAGCCAAAAAACATATACATTAGAGTTTTATATATTGTTTTATATATTATTATATATAAATACATATAACTATATATAATTATTATATATAAATATATATAACTATATGTAATTATATATATATATATATAAAACTCTAAAAGAGTTATCAAAGTATGTTTTCTGATTAATGAGGCATCATAGGATCATGAAAGTACACAAGTTTTAAAACATACCAAATGTAGGTATGAGTTCCATTTTTTAGTAAAAACTCCAACAGAGTACTTGGCACGTAGTAGACCCTTTGAAAATTTACATCTGCTGAGGGAAACTAAAAGTAGAAATTAATGCTGAATTTGATCAACTTTAGCTTACTCTAGTGTGAGGGGTACTATACTATGTGTTGGGAACAGAGAAGAAAGATATAGCTCCAGCTTGGGAGAAATTATCTATAGCTAGACATTTTTATTTAAAAAGTCTTGGACAAAATCTAAACCAGTAACCCAGGTGGACTGAGCTGATGGAATTCCTGAGTCAGATATGAGAGTCTCACTCCTCAGATACAGAATGGAAACGTGATTAACTTGAAGTAAGTCATTCTCGGCTCTTTAGTTTGATTTCTGTTTCATTAAGGTTTGTGCTCTATTAATTTCGTAAGTCTCCTGGAGCTGATGTTTATCCCAATTCCTTCATTTCTTTCACCAAGTCCTGTTGGCTCTGCTGCATCGATTCCTTACCATCCCCACTGCCTCCCCTCTGAGTCTACATCCCCAATACCTTACATCCAAGGCCCTGCAGGAGCTTGGTCTCCCAGTCTCCCTATTCACTGCTCCACTATGCATTATCCACACAACCGTCAGATCTTTTAAAAACATAAATTAGATCTTTCCACTCCTCTGCTTAACATTTTCAATGGCTCTTCCAAGATAAGCCAGAGTCCTGGCTATGGCCTGTTGTATCTGGAATACTCTGGTCCTTTCCTTCCTTCCCAGTATCATCTGACTCCATGTCCTTAATCAATATCATTCGGCCTTCTTACTTGCTCACTCTGCCTAGAACATGTGTCTCCCTGATCTTTACAGAGTCCTCGCTCCTGATCCTTCAGTTGAAAATGATCTTTTCTGACAGTCCGTTTCCAAGCAGCCCACCCAAAGTGGTTGCCTTAACTAATGCTCCATCTTATCTTTCTGTTTATTTCCTTCAAGCAATCACCAAAATCTGAAATTATTTTGCTTATTTATGGCCTGTTTGTTTTTAGAGACAGGTTCTTGCTCTGTTGTCCAGGCTGGAATGCAGTGGCACAATCTCAGCTCACTGCGGTCTCAACCTCCCTGTCGCAAACAATCCTCCAGCATCCTCCCAGGGTGCTGGGACTACAGGCATGAGCCACTGCACCCAGCCTTCTTTATGTTTTGTAAGAATCTGTCTTCTAATAAAGTTTAGGCTGCTTAAGGGCACAGATTTTGTTCTCTTTGCTGGTAAGGAACTCAATAAGTATCTGATGGATGAATAAGCACATGAATTTATAAAGATGCCAGGAGTTGGTTTTGCTCATTGTAATTCTTTCTATTAATATTTGGAGGATTATTTTATTACATTATTTCTCTTTTTTTTTGGTTTAAAATTAGAATGTGTCTAGAATGTTGTAGAGGTTCTTTTTATATTTTAACAATAGATACATTTTAATTCATTTAAGATTACATAAATAGTACCAGAGTTTATCTTATCAACTTGATTGTTTATGTTTTCAATGGGATTTACCAAATTCTTATATTCTATAAATTCTATTGAAAGTTATATTTGCATTTTATTTTTCACTCAAGGTTAAAAAATTACAATTTATTTTGGCTCTGTGACACTTGGCTAAATTTCTCACTGGTCCACTGATGTTTTTTGTTTTTTAGTTTGGTATTACATGTACATTCATTCTGAATTGCCAATAACATATAGAGATCTTTACTATACAGAACAGACATTTTCAACAGAAATAAAATTAGATACATGATGGGCATATTAAACACCAATGCTATTTATGTAACATGGCAGAAATAATCCTGTCTTGAGAAACTAGAGAAAATTAACCTCTCTGATAGAATGGATACAAAAGATATGAAAGTTACAAGAGCATATACACAATTACAAAAAAGAGAGAGAGCCAAGTTTAGAAGACTTGATTGCGTTAATGAGTGAAGTTTGCAATTGCTACTATAGATTGTGGCTCACACTTTCTGCTGATACATGTTCATGGCAACTAGCATCCGTGAACTGGTGCTAGAAACACCAAGAAAAATATACTGGCTAATACTACTGCAAGAGCAATGAGTTCTACTCATGGTTTAAAAATAAATTAGAAGAAAGTGTTTTCCTCACAAACATATTCCTATTTAGTCCAGCATTTTACTGTTGGTTTAATGGTATAATACACTTCATAAAGCTAAAAGACATTTATAATGTCTTCTAGTCAATATTTACAAAGCATTTGTAAGTGTCTTCTGTTGGATTAGAACAGAAACTTTGCAGCCAAAATAGTCCATTTGGAGTCCGGATCACGTAGTCGATGATGAGTAACAGACAAGTCATTTGTATTCTCTGACACTTAGTTGCCTCATCCTGAAAATTTCAATGAAAACTTGCCACCCTACTTTGCTGTGATATAACAAAAGGAGGAATATTTTTAACTCATAAAATGTTCTGCAACTTTTGTTATAGTTATTACTACCTGCTAATATGTAGATAGTGATAACTCATTTTACTAGAAGTTATTTGGCAGTGTGAGTACATCTTTATATACATAAAGACATGTAGAATACCCACACACTTACATTATAAGCAAGGCAGAGATATCAAGATGGATGTAAATAGCTTCCCAACACATAAATTTGCAAAATAAATAATTACTCCCTACATATATATGGAATTCTAAGAAACAAAATACAGATGTACAACAAGCTTGCATCTTTCCAGGTGTGTTATGAGATCAGGAGCCACATCTGTTCTGTCATACTTATATCTCAAGCCCTTTGATAAGTACCTGGCACATGCCACCAACCCTAAATAAAAAATATTAATTATAATAATAATAATAAAACCAATATAACAATAAATAAAACAAAGGGAGGGATCAATAAACATAAGCATTCCAAAACTAAAGATTTTGATGCAGTTCTCTATATTTAGTAAGTGCCTTATTTAACTCATGTAAAAACTCTCAAATATATTTGGAAGTTAAAATATAGAAGAAGCTATCCTGGAATTAATCTATTCCAAAAAGCTCAGGAATAAGCATCTAAATCTGTTCTTTGGGACTTTTTGATTTATAACAGAGCTATTTCTACAGGAAGAAGTCAACACAATAAACACAGTTAATGAGCTTTTCATGAACATGTCTTTCTGAGTGATGACAAACATCCTTAGTGGATCTTAAATAAATCAACCACACTACTAGGAGTCTTTGAAGTGAGGCTAGTACACCATTATGCAGGTATCCTGATTAATTTTTAAGACCATTGTGAAACAATTCTGTCTTCAATCAAAGGAAAGAGTCAATGATGCCTCAAGAATGTGTCTTATTTACCCGCAGTAAATTGTCTACAGTTAAAAGTGGAAAAGGTTCTTCCATGGGGTAAATTCTATTGCATGATGAAGACCACCCTTGGGGAATGCTAATATTCTGACTGGACTAAGAGATGTTTGGATAAACTCTTTACTACTTAGCCAATGGAAAATATTATCCCAAAATTACTTGTGTCATAAAATATTAACATAGAGCAAGAAAACAAATACATAGCACAGCCAAACAGTCACTCAAGGCATCTATAAAATCAAGAAGTACAACTAAGCCAGTATTTTTTACCACAGCCATAGTTAATATTTTATAAAATCAAGAAATACAACTAAGCCAGTATTTTGTACCAAAGCCATAGTAAATATTTTATAGTGTCATTACCTGAGATTTATTGATGCTACCATAGTATTCCAAGTTTTTTGTTTGTTTGTTTGTTTTGTTTTGTTTTGTCTGACAGAGTTTCGCTCTTTCGCCCAGGCTGGAGTGAAGTGGTGCGATTTCGGCTCACAGCAACCTCCACCCCCCAGGTACAAGCGATTGTCCTGCCTCAGCCTCCCGAGTAGCTGGGATTATAGGCAACCACCACCACACCCAGCTAATTTTTGTACTTTGAGTAGAGACGGAGTTTCGCTATGTTGGCCAGCCTGGTCTTGAACTCCTGACCTCAGGTGATCCACCTGCCTCGGCCTCCCAAAGTGCTAGGATTACAGGCATGATCCACCGCA